TAAGTAAAAATAAAAAAAAATTATAGGAAATTTCTTTCTTTTACTTATAATTTTTTTTATTTACTTAGAAAAGAAGCAAAAAATAAAATAAAAATTTAATTAACTAAATTATTATCGAAATTAAATTGGTGTCTAATCTAAAAACAGGTTGGTTGTGTCTGAGTTAGAAAAATAATTTCAAAGTTAAGTTTAAATTTAGAGTTAAGTTTAAATTTTATTTTTTAAATACTTCCATTATTGAACCAACATTGCGCCTTTTATTATAATCAAACCCTTAATTAACACATAACTCTGAAATTCCGTTCTTAATTTAAAGGAAATTATTTACCAGCAAACCTAAATTAATTCATTTTGTGCTTTACCCGACCGCAAAGTTGGGAAAAGTACAAGAGCACAACCGCTCAACACGCAAGGGACTAAACGATCAATCAGCTGATGATGAACTAAAGCCGGTTTCGCCCACCGATTACGCGCTCAGCTGACGAACACGGCCGAATAAGTGACAGTTAATAAACGCAACGAAGAAAAAAATATTTGTAACTGTATACTGTGTGATGTTTTAAATATACATATGTATGTACATATCATAGTGTACACAAAAATATATTCCAAATTTAGTAAATGTTTATTTATTGCTTATTTATATATAAAAATACATTTTACCCCCTTCCATATAATTCTACTTGAGCAGCGAAACTCTATATAGGTTTTGGTATGACCAAAAAAGCTTGTACAGAAAAAAGGGGAATACCCATGAACATTTATAAGTAAGAAATATCAACATTTTGACATGTTATACAAATTTGAAAATCATCACGAGTTGCGCTAAATAAAATAAAGCGAAAGTGGCGTCGAAATTTGGCACGTAATACTACAGGTCACGCCTTTTTTCAACCCTATAAATATACAGTCCTAGACCAACACACCTTCATATGAAATAAATTCCCACGCCTACTTTACTACCTTGCTTTATTTGTGCAATAATTCGCGTAAAGGTCCGTAGTTTAAACGCCATCCAAGTTTACACTTTAACTCCATGGCATATCATCCCAAAAAATTCTGTATAGTCACTGTCTTTTTCTGTTTACATGACTTACCAAAAGTGTGATGACAAGCAAATTTTGCTAACAGTAAAATACTTTAGGTTCGCTAATCAGTTGAGGTAAACTGATAACAGCAAATAAATATCCGACGAAGTATGTGATAGCAAAGCGATATTACATTTTGAAAACTCATAATGACAACGCAATATTTTGCTCATATAATAAACTGATAAACGGTGTCTTGTCTTGGATATAAATAAATTATTTAGGCACGTAAGCTAAATTGTAGGCACCATCGTGTATGAAAAATTCATAGGTGGTACACAGCTTATCATGGGTCACAGGCATGAGATAAATGAAATATTTATGCAAATAAATATAGGAGAGATTAGTCACATATTTCCTATTTTTTTATTTTTTTTATTTTTTTTCAACATTCAGATATAAGACAGCATAGTAAGGGTACAGTATACTACGAAGGATGAAGCAAGCCCAGGCCCATAGCAATAGTTGCCCGGTTTTTTTTCTTAATATTATACTTCGATACTAAAGGCAATCTTCCTATGACTCGACTAATCATCAAAAAAATGTCCAATGCTCGTAGAAGTAGAATACTATTAAATGACACGGACTGGTCCCTTTGAACTACATATGTACCTCTGTTCAGTTATAGGATAAAAAAAATTTTACAATAGATCGGTCCTTTTGAACAACGCGCTGTTTGTTTCCAACATCCAAGGTTTTTCTAACTATTTTTAACATAAAATAAATTTAATGTGTTCGCTTGAAATTTTATTTTTCCAGTGGAATCCCGGCTACGGAATTACTGAAAATGTTACAGAAATGTTTTGATACAATAAAGATAAAGCATTCTGTGGAGGTCGTGAAATCATCCAAAATTGCTTTATGCAAGTCGTTTATCCACCTCTTTCCATAGCATAATATAAAAAACGTTAAAAAAAAGGACAGAAACAGGGTTTGAAAATCGTCATATTGGCGTCAGAGAGCCAACAGAGGATCTTAACATATTTTTCGGATCGGCTAAATACATTTAGTTTAATGTTTTGGGTATGAAGGTAATGTGGCGATTAACAGAAGGTTTAGAGATCAGAGCATACTGAAGTTATGGAGGGAACACTGGTACACTTCTCGGCAGTGAAAGCAGCAGGGGCCGATTGATTATCGACTGATCTATTCAAATATGGCGGCGAAGAACTGACAAGGTGCATGCATCAGTTACTCTGCAAGACATGGTCGGATGAAAGCATGCCCGACGATTGGAACCTAAGTGTGCTTTACCGAATCCAGAAAAGGGGATGACCTAAAAATCTGCGCCAATTAGTATGCGATAAGCTTACACATATTAGTTCTTATCAAGCGTAGTGTATTGGAACAAAACGATCCTTTATTGAAGGCGATAATAAAGATTTGTATTAAAATACGTAATTGTCAGTCCGTTTTAAATTTTATCCGATATATAGTACGTTGTTGAGGTTTACGTTATAGATTAATTCACATGGGATAATATTTATTTCGACTTCGATAAGAAAATTGTATTTTACCCAATGTATTTACCTTAATTAAGTGCTAAAAACCACTAAAAACCAATTGAAAGTACTTAAAATCAGTTACTAGGTATATATATACCTGCAAAATTAATATACATGCATACACACGCTGTCACCAGTGCTGTGTCACGTGGCAACTAGATGTTAAACAAACACTCTATGAGAGAAAGTACCAGTTAGATGACAAGTTTATCGCTAAAAATCGGTACATATGTATACAAATATTTAATATTTGATTAATATCTAAAGATGTGCTCGGTCTAATGAAAATCTAGATACTCATAATCATTATTGCATAATGGGGAATGCCACTTGATTGGAAGTGCGTAAAGTTGTGAAAAATAGTATGTGCATACATATATAAATGATTTTGAGATATCGATCTGAAATTTTGCCCATGTCCCAAGAAGCTGCCCTTATTGGAGCCGTCGATGCTGAATGATCAAAATGAAGTTCTTGTATAAAAAACTTGTTTATTTGACGAGATATCTTCGCGAAATTGTACGTAGGTGCTCAAGAAACGATGCAAAATCGAGTGAAAACTCGCCCTAGACCCCCTATAGCTAACAACCCTTATGTACATATGTACTTGCAGGTACTTCCCTGGCTTTACAAGTTGTACTTGCGAGCTGCAAGAGTATGAAATGTTCGGTTATACCCGAATTTAGCTATCCACTCGCTTTTTATTATGGCAAATAAAATAAAATAAATAAAATACGATAATTGCAAAGTGATAGATAAGATTAACACGATCAGAAACCGTTATATTTAAAGACTAAAAAGTCATAACAATTGAGGCGACAGTTGCACTTTAGATTTACGCCGTTAACACTTTGATTTTGCAATTAACACACGCCAACGAACAAAGAATGCAATGAAGAGAAAAAGCGGATATGAAGCAACAGCAATCAAAGCACTAATTAATTGAGAATTTTCGGATATACCATTAATGGCAGGCGAGCGAAAACGGTGAGTGTGCGCTGATAAGACGAGCCACGTAATACGATCACTGTGGCCTGCTAGGATACTTTCCATTCCCGGTTTGCAATTCTTTTTTGTGTCAATTTTCGCGTTTTCATATTTTATTGTTGTGGTTTTTTGACTTTCGCTGCGCTTTATATGGCAATCAATGCGCTCGTAGTACGTCAGTGCTACAATGCTGTGATTACTGCGAGTCGGTCGCGCCGCTTGGGCTGTGCAGCGAGTCGAATGACTCAGCAATTTATAAATAGTAAACAGCATAAACACACACACACACACACAAGCGCACGAAATTGGCAAATAGAGATCGTATATGCATAATGTGTGGAACACAATGCTAGCGACAGACTGCAGCAGCACGACAGTG